CAATGATGGGAGATATGCAGTTAAGCACATGGGAGATAAGAGAGGGTCTTTTTTTTTTTCCAAGCAGTTCTGGATATTCTTCACCAATTTTGAGCTTTTTTAAAATATCATCTTCATTGTAGATTAACGCAGTTAGTTTTAATCGCCTTTAAGTGTGGGTGCCGCGTTGTTCTGGAGATAGTTGACTGCGTTTTTCTGGGGATAGTTGACTGCGTTGTTCTAAAAATAGTTGTGTTTTGCTTCTGAAGATAGTGACTGCGTTGTTCCAAAGACTGTTAACTGCGTTCATCCAAAAATTGTTGAGTTGTTAATTACTGGAGACGCCACAGTACCTAGTTTGTTACTGATGACGCCCCTGTACATATCAATTGAAACAAGCCATCTCAGATTAAGATGGATGTTTGTATTGTTCATTTAAAATGAACGAATCATTCTTTCTTTTTTTATTTCTTATTTATTTTCAAATACGTTTGTTTTTCTGCTTTCCTAGATATTGATATGTAGTGACAAAGAAAGCGTGCAAATTCAGGGGCGGAGGTGTGCAAATGCCCCCCATGCCCTCCCAAATGGTGAAATGGTGTCCCTGGTCATAAGTCCCTAAGTGTGTGCTGGACACAGCCATCTAGGGGGTGGGGGGGGGATTCTTCCCTATATGCCATCTGCGGGGACATGTGTCCTTAAGTGCGTGCTATTGAATCGGATGATTCCCAGGATATGACTACGGTACTACCACCCCCCCCCATGACACCTGTCATACGGTGACATAGCGACAGCACCGGAAGTCAACGTGGTGATTGGATGGCATGCGTTCATAGCGTGATATCCACTGAAAAGTTCACGGGTCAAATTTGAAGCATAATTAATGAACGGTGGAGCACGTGGTACTCTCTTGGTGTCTGTGACGACCAAAGCATTCTTTACATCCATCTGGTTGGTCCAAACCCGTGTGTGTGTTGTAATACAACAATAATCTACCCAAGGCTTGCTGTAACAAGTGTTGTAATACAACAATAATCTACCCAAGACTTGATGTAACACAACAATAATCTACCCAAGACTTGCTGTAACAAGTGCTGTAATACAACAATAATCTACCCAAGACTTGCTGTAACAAGTGTTTTAATACAAGAATAATCTACCCAAGACTTGCTGTAACAAGTGTTGTAATACAACAATAATCTACCCAAGACTTGCTGTAACTAGTGTTGTAATACAAGAATAATCTACCCAAGGCTTGCTGTAACTAGTGTTGTAATACAAGAATAATCAACCCAAGACTTGCTGTAACAAGTGTTGTAATACAAGAATAATCTACCCAAGGCTTGCTGTAACTAGTGTTGTAATACAAGAATAATCTACCCAAGACTTGCTGTAATACGACAATAATCTACCCAAGACTTGCTGTAACAAGTGTTTTAATACAAGAATAATCTACCCAAGACTTGCTGTAACTAGTGTTGTAATACAAGAATAATCTACCCAAGGCTTGCTGTAACTAGTGTTGTAATACAAGAATAATCTACCCAAGACTTGCTGTAACAAGTGTTGTAATACAACAATAATCTACCCAAGGCTTGCTGTAACAAGTGTTGTAATACAACAATAATCTACCCAAGGCTTGCTGTAACTAGTGTTGTAATACAAGAATTATCTACCCAAGACTTGCTGTAATACAAGAATAATCTACCCAAGGCTTGCTGTAACTAGTGTTGTAATACAACAATAATCTACCCAAGATTTGCTGTAATACAACAATAATCTACCCAAGGCTTACTGTAACTAGTGTTGTAATACAACAATAATCTACCCAAGACTTGCTGTAACAAGTGTTGCAATACAACAATAATCTACCCAAGACTTGCTGTAATACAACAATAATCTACCCAAGACTTGCTGTAATACAACAATAATCTACCCAAGACTTGCTGTAATACAACAATAATCTACCCAAGACTTGCTGTAATGCAACAATAATCTACCCATGGCTTACTGTAACTAGTGTTGCAATACAGCAATATTCTACCCAAGGCTTGCTGTAACTAGTGTTGCAATACAGCAATAATCTACCCAAGGCTTGCTGTAGCCAGTGTTGTCCAGATACACTTACCTTTATCTATGCTAACGTTGGATGCATTTTTATCTTGTGTTTTTTTTTTTAACTCTGGCTGGCTTTCAAATCCATTGTGTTGGGCTATTGGTCCACTAAGTTTGACTAACTACTGGTTTGCAAAATATCGTTTCTATAATTACAACGCGCGGCTGTATTGTTGTATGTTTGCACTGTTTTGCAATGTGTTATGTGTGTAACCATCCCCCCCCCCCGCCTCCAACTTGATCTGTGATAACAGAAAACACACCCAAATCTATCTGTGATAGCAGAACACCCTCCAAAATCTATCTGTGAAACAGAACACCCTCCCAAATATATCTACAATAGCAGAACACCCTCCCAAATATATCTACAATAGCAGAACACCCTCCCAAATATATCTACAATAGCAGAACACCCTCCCAAATCTATCTACAATAGCAGAACACCCTCCCAAATCTATCTGTGATAGAAGTACCCCTCCCAATGCTATCAGCGATAACAAAATCCGCTCCCAATTCTACCGGTTCAAGTAAATACTATAACCCCCCCCCCCCCCCCCCCCCC